GGTGGGACCCCTTTCTCGCGTAAAAGCGATCAGAATTCAAACACGACGCGCTTTACTGGGAAGGATACAACCTAAAGAACCAATCGACAGGGCTATCACCTTCTGTGGCAAGATCTTCCAAACTTTTAAGACTGTTCAAGAAGACATGTACATGGAATGTACAGAAGCCTCCGGGGTTGTCCATCATCAAAAAGAAGAGAATGAAACCTGGAGAAAAAGAAGTCAACACTGGCAGAAGCTTAGGCTGGCTTGCAATTCAAAACCCAAAGACCGCTATCGCTCGCCGCTACTAACGGGGTCTCGGTTGATTTACCTTCCTTTAGCTACTCAGATGTTTCAGTTCGCTAAGTTGGAAAAGCCCAAAGAGCGAAGACGAGACAAGAAGTTTGGAGAAGGTTTACCCATAGGAGATCCATGGATCACAGACCCTATCTAACCATGGCATTTCGCCTATGAAAGCGTCCTTACTTCTCAATGCCCGGGCATCCATCCAATGCATTCTTGAAGAGAGTATGAGAAGGGACACGGAACAACAAAAGAAATCTAGAAAAAGAGAAAAGAAAGAGGAAGAAGGAGAGAGAAACGAGACAAAGATAGGGAGAAAAGAGGATTGACAAGCAAGAAAAAGAAAGAAAATAGGAAAAAAGAAAAGGAAGAAAGAGAATGGAGTGAAAAGATTATCAAAAGATCTATATAAGGAAATAAAGATTAGAAGAAAGAAAAGAGAAAAACTTCAGTCGCGTATAGATGGTCAATCTAAGAAATCCGAGTCTTTTGCTTGTGGTGATGTCAGTTATGCGGTACCGTGTAATGTATGAGGTTCCTATAAAGTCAACCTGGGATCTGAAGAATATATGGATGTTCCGACGGGGAAGGGTGCCTCGGGACTAGAAAACACACGCAGGAGACGGACTTCGGGCTCCCCCCATCAGACTAAAACAAAGAGGACAACACTCCATTCCCATACCAACAAGCAACGAAGTTAACTCACGAGGAGAAATAGGGCTGCCACTTTTCAAGCCTTCCCCTTTTCGGGTTGCATATAAGGAGAGTGGTCCTAAGCTCTTGGATCGGTCAAAGTCAAGCGCAAAGGCTCCCCCAATAACAGAAGCATTCTCATATCTAGTCCTTTCCCGGCCTGATAGACGAAGGAAGTCACTACTGAACTGTTGCTTCTTCTTTCAAGCCAAGCCTTCCTAATCCTATACTTGGTAGTCCCTCTAATGGTCCTCCCCTCGGGCTAGCGATTCGTTTTGACCCAGGCCAGTAGATAGAGCTACCTGTGGGACCTTTGAACCATAAGGGAATGAACTTCAAAAGCAATAGTTTGCTCCAGCAGCAGGGTTCCCCCGGCTACCTTTTCCAGAATTTCATCATTTGAATCAATCAATTCTTTCTCAATTCTTACGGAACCGACCCGCCTATCGCTTCAACTCCCCTCCACTGGTCAGCCTTTGGCTTCTTTCGACCACTCAATGAGCGTATCGGACATGCTAGACTTCTTTCTTTGAGGAAGCAGATGAGGCCAAATGGTTACTACAAATAAGAGATACGGAATAAGAGCTCACACCTAATTCATACCCATCACCGTACCGAACCTCAGAACTAACATCAACACAAGCAAAGGAGTTTTCGATGTTTGAAGAGCCTATTCTTAGTGAAAATGGAGTTCTCAACTTTCACACATCCTGCTCAATGGGATACGAACGAGAAGCTTAATCCCACTATCATAAATGCCTTCTGAACGAAAGGATATGGAGTATATTCAGGGAAGCTGTTATTTCCTTTTTTCAGTGAATTGATCGGCGAATCTGACTCATCGACTAATGGATAGAGGAATGGATCGGCGTATCTGCATCATCTGGTTCAAGCTTAGGAGCTACAGCCTGCGAATAGCCAGGAATATAATGTCATAGTAGAATCTTCTTCCAGCAGTCCCTCTTTATTCACTCTATAGCAAGCCAAGCTAGGAATGATTTTGTTTTCGGTAGTCATTGTTCGCATCATCTTCTTCGTCTCTTTTTCTTTCATCGATGCTTCGGGTGCAGGCTAATGATATGGGGGATCCCGGTCATAGTATGGGAGTGGAAAAGGCGCAGTATGCCCACTACGCATGGGTCGGCTCCTGAGCTATGATACTTGGGGCTAGTGAGTGAGCTTGAGTGAATGAGCGGTGCTTGAGGAAAAGAAAAAGAACTATTGGATGAGTGACTGACCTAGGAGAGAAGTTTCGAAGTCGAACATTCCGAAACTGACTTCTCTTCTGAAGGAGCTTGCCTTAGAGCGACATCATTCTCACTTCCGGAAACAAAACAGAGGAGAAAACCAAGAATAGGGGATGCTTCGGGAATCGGAGATTGATAGCGATTCGTAGGACGTTTTCCATCTTGAAAACGGACGATTGAAGAAAAGAGAGTCCATCCATCAACAAGGGGGTATAGCGTTCCTTTAAGGTCACGCAAATGGGCATTGAATGGAAAGTTTATTCGATTAGATAAAG